ATATATATATATATATATATATATATATATATATATAGTTTTTTTGTTTGCATATTTTCAGGAGAAAAAAACTAGAAATATAACTAGCAACATGCGAATCAAAGCCTTTCAGAAATGCTGAGGTGTCTTGAAAGAGGAAAAAAACGCGTGACACCATATGTGGGTAATTACGTCACCGGTGAGGAACACGCTGTTTGTTCATAAGCCGCAGGGGACAGGATGACACAATATGAATACTCATTTCCCATCTTTAATAGTTATGTCCATTATTACAAACATACAAATAAATTAAAAGTATCACATTTTATATCTTAGCTCAATATTAAAAATAATGTATTGGATCCCAGCAGGGCATTGAGCTACCACCTGCATGCAGCCTGCACCAATTAAAGCAAACTTAATTGCAAACAGAGCAGGAAGTGTTGAAATGAAAAGCAACAAGCAGGAGGGTGAATAAGTTTCATTTTCATCAGAGATGCTGATATAAGCGATATTTATTCTTCTGTTTTAATTACCGCAGCAGCAGTTTCCTAAAATAGTTCCTCTTAAAACCAGTTTCTATTTGCAGCAGCTGACGCTCTGCAGATCTTTCTTTGTTAGATTATCTGTGTGCGATCAGGGCTATAAATTAAACCTTAAATGTATTTAAATTTCTAACAAAGCAAACGTTTTGATCAGACTGTAGTGATTTAATGTAGTGTATAAAATGTGGAATCAAAGCAGAGGCAGGCTTTGCCCTTGTCTCCGCAGTAACTCGCCTGTCATGGTGAAGATCCCAACCACCAGGTTGATGCCCCGGTTCCCCAGCAGGGCCATCTCTGTTTTATCCCCCTGCGTCTTCTTGGCCTCTTTCTTGGACTTGACGGAAGCCCAGATGCCGGTCCCGAGGACCAGCAGGTAAAACAGCATCATCACGGCCACTCCGGGGATGTTGAGAGCCATGATGAGGCGGCGGGAAACCGGCTGATGAGGAAATGAGCGCCTGCTGGCTGATGCACAGAGCTTAGTGCTGCTGCTGCGTGGAATTGTATGGAGCGCCACAAGTGCCAGAATCAGATACATTAAAAAAATAAAACTATTTAAAACTTCATTGTGAAGTTATTATTTATAAAATTGTATAAGCAATACAGTAAGATACAAAAAATAAATAAACACATAATTAAAGAAATGTATCCTATGAGATTGAATTATCCAGTCTGAAATTCTTCAAAATGTTAAATTGCTACATTTTTATTTCGTTTTTTAACACATTTTTATATATTTTAGAATTTTTTATCATAAGGCAGAACATACATACATTCTTAAACAAGAATGGGACAGAAAAAGAAAGCAGTCGTTGCTAGGCAACACATTGACGCCCAATGTGTGGCTGTAGCTCTGTGGGTAAATGTATACGGTCAAATAAAACTTTTTCAAAGAGGACCTTTCCTTTTGCAATAAATTATGTTCTTTTCTTGTATGTACCTTGTGATTTTTCCTCAGTGTGATGAATATGCCACAAACCCGTGGAACTTAGATTAAATGCAGGCGTTTCCTCCATCAAGCTGCTGTTACTCCTGCTGCCAAATTCTGTACTGATGCACACTTACTATTTAAGGGGTCAACAGTCCACTGGCCCTACCCACTACGCGGTTTGGGATGGCACTTAATGTGGAAGATCCTCCATGGGAACACGCAAATGGAGTGTTAGTGCTCAGGGTTAGTGCTTAGGGGCCAGTTTGGGAATGGGCCGGAGACAGATTTTTTCCTTTGGAGAGTTCATCTGTTAGAAGAAGAAGAGAATGCATCAAATGCATGGACTCCCTGCTAGCAAGCATCTGATAAAAACCAAACAGTAACACTCATTTTAAAAATCACACAAGTTTATTTATTTATTTCAATTGTTTATGTATTGAATTTTCATTTTGTTACACAAACACAGCATTCTGAACACATAATATTGATTACAAATATTATGGGTGTATACATAGGGTGGGAGGGAAAAAAATGAATGTAACAAAAAAAAATCTAGACAAACAAAATATTAAAAATAATAAAACTAAATACAACAAAATAAGTCAATTGAATTATCATTATCAATGTTATCATTAAAAAAAGACATCTAAAGACGATTACAAGTCATGTGTTAGGTCAAGATGAGATATCACATAGAAGGAGGTCAGGTGATGATCAAGGGTCTCAATGTTTGAGCAAAAAGATATTCTTTAGCTTTCAATTGGTAAGTATAGTGCTCCAGTTGCATTGTGTCATTCATTACTGTTTTAAACAGATTAATTGTAGGTGCTGTAGCTTGATTCCAGTTGAGCAGTAAGTAACCCCCAGCTATGATTCTGCGGTAGAAATCTTCTGCGTCTCGTGGTGAGGAAAAGCGGCTAATCTTTCCTTCATGGAGTTCTCTGAGCTTACATAGATGAGGATGAAAGCTGCAAAAAGTTCCCATGTCCAAGACCAGCTGTTTCACACTGTCGAATTGGGTCTCTGTCAGATGGTTTCGGCTGACAGGTGGTGGATGAGGTAGCTCTTGCATTCCTCATATGTGATGTTGCGATTATTTGCTGAATGGAGGACAAGCTCCTTTACAGGCTGGGGATTTGGCATAGTCAAACCAAGGCAAGTTGTCAGCAAGTGGCAGGTTAAAAATAAAGTTTGGGGTAGTTTTCTGTGCAAAGGTAACAGGAGCTTCTCACTATGGTGCCATCCTCTACAGGGTCCTCAGTGTGCCCCCCCCACCCAAAAAAAAAACAAAAAACAAGTTTATGTACACAAATACAACAAGAGAGAACTATTAATGATGCAGTACTCACCATACAAAAGAGTTTTTCTACCCATCTCTGTAAGTCGGTATTATAATTTATATTCCAATTTTCTACTAAAAATTTTAACATGATTGGGTGTTCATCTGCAATTTTGATGTGTGTTTTTGGTATTTACCATTATATCTCTGATATAAAGGATTACCTTGGCCACTAAGAAAACTCAAACTTTCTAAATAAACTCTTTTCTACTAAAAATGGAGCTTTTATTGCCCCATTTTCTCTACCCCTCTGAAACCGATTCATGCCAAGTTCAGACGGAGCTTGTATCACTTAACCGTGCCATGCGCAATACAAAAACAAAAATGGTGGCACCCATAATATTTAGGAACTTATGTGCCTGGATAGTGTCCTGCGCCCAAATTTCAATGAGAGCCTCAGTCTCTGCATCATCTCAGGTTACACCATGCTTTTTTTTCATGAGGAACAAATCTTTTAGAGGTAATTTGAATATCGTAGTATTTTAATTACTATTATTACAATACCACCGGATGGCAGCATAATTACCAAATAGTGATATTTCAAATAGTTAATAGTTTAATCACATATTTTGAAAGTGACTGCTGATGTTTAAACCATTAAAACAGTCCAGCAATAAGAATAAAGGGATTATATCTTGCTATAAATTTAGTGAGTAATTTATGCCACCGAGTCGTGTAGTAACAACAACACCAATGGCTGTTTTCCTATAAGCTAATTACATAGAAAATTGAGTGGAAGGAAATATGTTAGGAAAAGGTGCAACAGCGATTAAGACAGCTTTGAGGGGATTGCCAGACAGAAGGACTGAGGTGGGAATCAGCTCATCAGTAGCCACTATCTACTCACTAAACCTGTTTTTATTGACTGAATGTAATAATCAGCAACATTGAATACTGGGTTTATCCGTAAGTTTTACTTATCAAAATGGCAAGAAAAAAAATCGCAATGTTCAAATCTGATTGCAATGATCTATAATATTAATAATAAAAATGATACAATTATTTACAAAGTGCCTTCAAACAGTCCTGAGCAGAATGTAATACAAAATGTAAAGCAAGAAATTAAATAATGCAATTTAAAACCAGGTAAAGCCAAGTAAAAATGTATTAGAGTTTAACTTTCTGAAATTATTGACAATTTATTAAAACTTTTCCAAAATATTTCAGGGACCAATAACCCATGCAAACTTCTTTATTGAAAGCTTAATTCATAAACAGACTTTATTACTAGAAAGTTGGCAATGCATTAAAAAAACTGTTTTTGTGTATGAGGTATTATTTTAGTTACCATAAATAATAGATCTGTTTTCAGTTTGCCTCATGCTGGTGGATTTTGTTTAACCGTTTCTTAGACTGAGGAGGCTGCAATTGTGTTCACACACAAAGTGAAAGTAAGTTTTAATTCTATTTTGAATGCATGTAAATACACTTCTAGCTACACCAACAAGACAACAGATACACTTTAAGACAGAAGAAACCGATAGCCTAATAAGGGTTAAAGAAATTCTGGCCACAAAGCTGCAAGATTTCCTCTGGCGTTTAGTGTTTCACCATCACTAGGAACATTCTGATTTTCTCAGGATGCAAAACAACACGACCTGGCCTTCTGACAGAGACAATGGATGTATTCAAAGTACCTCAACAAAGGTTTGTTCCTCATGGTTCAAACTCAGGGAGATTTAAATGCCCCATTTGACAGTTTAATTTTTAGTTTAGAAAGTTTGAGTTGAGGCCAAGGTAATCCTTTACATCAGAGGAAATGGAAAGCGGCATTCATCTGCACAGGATTAAAGTTCTGACACAGAAAGTCTGCATTAAAATTTAGTTTACAACAGTTTCCACTTTGAAAAAGCCATATATTACCCCAATATTTAAAGTAATTACACATATTTTTGTGTGGAAGTACTGTAACCCAAAACTCAACAAGCTGAATTTACATTCTTATAAAGTAATTTTTTTATCTATTCTTTTGTTTCTTTTAACACTTTATTTCACATCACTAAGCGTGCAGAGAAATTCTTATCATTTCATTTTGATAATTTTATCATAAATACACCAACAATTTTAAAAAAAAAAAAAAAAAAAGAAGCACAATATGAGACATAAATCTTTTGATCGGCCAACTTTTGCTATTATTTCTAAATGTCATACTTTTGGATACATGGAACAAAAATGTATCAGGGCAGCTGTAAATACTATGATTAGCGCTTTATTTGACATTTACTCTGAGAACTCATATTTATGAGAATTTCCAGCATTAGTATGGCAACAGAAAGTCCTCCACTGTAAATACAAGAAGATATTTGCGTTGGTATGGCTTAGTTTTTAGTTTTTAATTTTTTTTTTTTTTTTATAGCTCTACCTCATAGAACTTCCATGTAAACTTTAAGTTCATAAATGTAGCTTTTTGTACTGTAAGCAATTATTCCAGTATTGATGAGTAACTTGCTATATTTGGGGTTTTATATGCAGCTCAGACTTTTTCGTTTTTTGAAATCTGTCTGCGTTTTGTCACCTATTCTCATGCAGGTCGATTGTAAAACTTAACAAAGCCGTTAGTTTCATACAACCTTTGTATAATTCTATTCTAAATGAACATTTAAGTTCAATTCAATTTATTTAATGGTTTTGTTAGCTTATTTGTTTGCTGTAGAACCACATTAAACTGACACATAGGTGTGAAAAGCACTAAATGCATACTGCTTAAACCTGGACACAAAAATCCAATACATAATTCTTTAAAAAAAACAAATATTATTTTGATAAATCAGTTGCTTTAGTCTCAATTTTAAAATCTTGGTGGTGCCAATAGCCTATTCATTTTAATACATAGACTACACTAGCAATGTGTGTGTGCGTAGAGGAGTCCTAGAAGGTTGTTGGGAATGAGACTACCTGGGATCCTGGAAACAAAAGCGAATATATGAGACTACTGGAGATTATGTGAAACTGGAATTAGCACAGACAGGCTGGAGTTTTTATGTTTCTCCCCTTTTTGTTTTCAGTTATTCTGTTTTATTGATCTTTGGTTTATTTTCCATTATATTCCAGCAGTCTTTAGTTACTTTCTGCTGCCCCCTTGTGCTTGTTTCCTTTCCCCTTGGCTTCCTTCTAGTTAGTTCTACTCACACCTGCTCCATATTCAGCTCATTAGCCCATCCTTTGTTC